ACAGTAAAAGGACCAACATTAATTAACATAGATCTTAGTATTTAAGCTATCATAAAATGAGAAACTTAAAGTTGTTTTTTTAAATATATTTTATTGATTTTTTTTTTTTTTTTTTTTTTTTTTTTTACAGAGGGGAAGGGAGAGGGATAGAAAGCTAGAAATATAAATGAGAGAGAAACATCGAAACATCGACCAGCTGTCTCCTGCACACTCCCTACCAGGGATGTGCCCACAACTAATGTACATGCTCTTGACTGGAATCGAACCTGGGACCTTTCAGTCTGCAGACGGATACTCTATCCACTGAGCCAAACCGGTTTCGGCAAACTTAAAGTTTTAAAAATTGGTGTTAGGCCCCTTTTCAAGAATATTTACAAATTTTAAACTGCAATGTACATATGTTGTTTTCTCCCTCTCTTTCCCTCCCTTTCTTCCAATCTCTAAAACTCAGTGGAAAAAATGTACTTGAGATAGAGTTTACAATGATAACAAAAAAAGAGTGAAAATAGGACAAGGAAGTGGCAGGAAAAATATAAATAAAATGAGCAGAAATAGCAATAATCCATAGCAGATAGAGTGGAATTCAAGAACAAAAAGGAAAAACCGAGTCAGAAAAGAATATGGTTAAAAATTACGACTCGGTAAGAGGATATAAGCAGTACAAACCCTAAGTCACTCCCTGCAAAACAAATGCTGGCGTGCCCTCTTTTCCAATGGCATATTGTACAGAAATATTTAATTCCTTTAGTGGGACCGCACTTGGATAACGTAGAGGTTTGTTCTCAGTTGAAATCAGGTAAACATGGCTAGTTTCTTCATTGTACACTGGGAGGAAGATGTCCAAAGTAAAAAGTTATTTCTAGGCCTTGTATATAGCACAAAGTAGAAAGTTATTTCTAGGCCTTCTATATAGCACTAAACAATCAGACCAGCAGGGGAGAGCAGTTGGGAGGGATGAGGCCTGCAAGGGAGGGCAGTTGTGGGGGACCAAGCCTGCAGGTTTGGTTTATTTGATTAGCATAAACTATTACAGACAAATTTATCTTGGCTGTCTACATCAGTGTTTTTCAACCTTTTTGGGGCAAAGGCACACTTGTTTCATGAAAAAAATCACGAGGCACACCACCATTAGAAAATGTTAAAAAAAATTAACTCTGTGCCTATATTGACTATATCTAAAGTAATTCTCTTGAATAGGAATCAAACACAAAGAAAGTATTTTATAATTACTTTATTTTGAAATATTAAGTAAACAAAATAGTGAAAAATTATAAAATTCTTGTCTTGTCTGCACCTACAGCACACCAGGCAACATCGTGTGCCGCGGAACAGCGGTTGAAAAACGCTGGTATACATTGACTAAGTTAACCAGATCATTACAAAGTTCAACTTTAATTCATATTGTGTGAATATAAAAAACCATTCCAATACAATTCAAAAGTTTTACTTAAAATATAGTACTTGATTATAGAAACTCTTACTTAAAATAGCAGAATATTCCCCTTCTTCTGACAAGAAAATGAATAATAGAAAATAAGGCATGGTAAAATAAAGTTCAACAACCCCCAGTTAAAACAAGTGAGGAACACATGCGGTTGTTGGAAGTCACTGGGACAAGAAGAATCTTCTATGAGTATCAGCATCCTGACTTTGATAACGAATAAATGATGATGACATTTGTTGAGATAAGGAACAATGAGAGGGAACCATGCTCTGGTCTTTTTATTACTAGTACAGAGTCCTACAGGTGATAAGTTACCAATATTTGCTTGATAGATGATTCATTTGAATTACATGAGTACATGAACATGAATTATGGCTGAATCAAATCATATAGAATGGTTGCAAAGATAACCTCTTTTGCTCAGATTTCAGAATGAGAGAGACCTAGTCTTCAATTGTTGTACTTAAAGACTGACATTCCTTTTTATAGAAAAACAAGTACCATGCAGAACATCACTGAGACAAGAAATAAGAACTTACATTTTATAAATTGAACCAGTATGGCTAACATTCATTTTTATGGGAATATTAGAGGCCCAGTGCATGAATTCATGCACCAGTGGAGTCCCTCAGCCTGGCCTGCAGGATCTGGCCAAAACTGGCTCTCTGACATTCACTAAGGGGTCCCAGATTTCGAGAGAGTGGAGGCCAGGCCAAAGGATCCCTCCAGTGCATGATTGGGGATGGGGAGAGATGTGGGAGGTGGGCCAGCCCCAGAGAGAGACCGCAGGAGAGCTCTAGGGTGTGTCTGGCCCGTTGAGCTCAGTCCCAATCACCTGGACCCCAGCAGCAAGTTAACCTAACAGTCGGAGCATCTGCCCCCTGGTGGTCAATGCACATCATAGTGACAGGTCAACTGGCCAACTGTTTGCTCCTAGAGGTCAGTGTCTGTTGTAATAAGCAGTTGAGCAGCCTTATCATATCATTAGCATATTATGCTTTGATTGGTTGAATTACCAACCAGTCTACTGGACACTTAGCATACTAGGCTTTTATTATATAGGACAAGTACTATGTATTACTACCTATGAAATGTAAATAGTGTAAGAATTTATATTTTAAAAGTAGATCTAATTTGGTGAGAAGCAAAGTTCAGAAACTTTCACTATTAAATATAGTAATAGGAATTGGTCCTTGGTTCTCACAGATATAAATTAAGTAAACAATTTTAAAAACATATTTCTTCATTGATTTCAGAGAGGAAGGAAGAGGAAGAGAAAGGTAGAAATATCAATTATGAGAGAGAATCATTGATCGGCTGTCTCCTGCACATCCCCTACTGGGGATCAAGCCCACAACCCACGCATGTGTCCTTGGCTGGAACTGAATCTGGGAACCTTCAATCCGCAGGCTCTATCCACTGAGCCAATCCGGCTAGGGCAAATAAACAATTTTTATATGTCTGTACCACTGCACAAGTCTTCATATTTTAATGTGAACTAAAATAATTTTATACCATCTAATACTAATTTAATAAAATCAGTTTGATCCTCTATTGCAAGTTTTTTTAGAGAAGTTGGAGAGTAAATGAGTTCATGAACTAGAATTACTATTGCTTTGTTACATTATTTATAACCTTATAGAATAGACTGAAATTATTATATAAGGTTTAGATTTCGAAAGACTTAATTTTGTTTCATAAAATTCTTACATGTGATTTGAAGTAATTCAACATGTAAAGAAATAATAACATTGTGCCTGAATTGAACGGCTAAATGGAAACACATCTGTATAGTAATCTGGGCAGTGGAAAACTAATCAGACATTAGTAGTTGCTTATGTTAGTATTTTGAAGATGTAGAAACTCTTAGATAGTTTGAAGGTCTGAGTCTTGCCGTTTTTTTAATTTTATAGACAGCATTTGTATATGCCTCTAAGTTCAAGTTGATTATTTCTTTTAGGTTTCTTTAATATTTACTTTTTTAATGATTAACTTGTCTACCTAAAAGAAATTAATTCTGTATAGATAGGTAGTCTAGGATACTTAAGAAAATAAAGGTTTTATTTTTCCTTATAGGAAAATACTATTTAGGCAGTTTGCTTTTCCCTTTGAAAAATTACTGAATCTACTAACTATGTAGTCAAAAGATTTTATGAATAGTATTAAGGGATTTATAGGTTTGGCCTTGTTTTCCAGCTTATGCCATGATATTCTTTCTCTGATTTATCTGCCAGGAAAAGAGGTTTCTAGGGATGTTTTACACCACATTGTAATGAGAGTGGAAATGTAGTACATTTAAAAAATAATGTGGTTTGAATGTTCTGAATTAAACTGTTTGGTATATAAACTTCTTGTCATATATTTCACTTTAGCTGCTTTTTGTTTGAGTCAGATATCCTTTAATAAGACTATTTCTGTGGACTGAGAGATCACATAAAATAAAAATAACTATGTAAAGGTGCCAAGATTAAATTGTGGTTAGGATTTTAGATCTGTACTAAGTTTTGTCATTTTTTATGCCCTTTTAATAAGGTTTTCAGTTAAGACTACTATGGTAGGATAGTAGTGTATCAAAGTAATTGTCTTCAGTCAACATGATTAGGAAAATGGATGAAAAGAGCCCTCTTTCTGGCTGATGTATTGGGAGGCATTTGCTCTGAGCAGGTAGTACTAAGCAAGAAAAGGCACCTGAGTACTAGTAAGAGTTCAACTCTAACTGCTTAGGTTTTCACCTACTCAGAGGTAGCCTGGTGGAGAGTATGGGGGGATAAATGGTGATGGAAGAAGACTTGTCTTGGGAGGTGGACACACAATACAATATACAGATGATATATTATAGAATTGTACACATGAACCCTATATAATTTTATTAATTGATGTTACCCCAATAAAAATTTTTTCTTTTTCTTCTTTTTAATCCTCACCTGAGGATATTTTTTTCCGTTGATTTTTTTAGAGAGAACGGAAGGGATGGAAAGAGACAGAGAGAGAGAAACATCCATGTGAGAGAGACACATACATTGGTTGCCTCCAGGACTGGGGATGGAGCCTGCAACCAAGGTACATGCTTTTGACTGGAATCAAACCCATGACCCTTCAGTCTGCAGGCCATCACTCTAACCACTGAGGAAAACCAGCCAGGGCTCACCCCAATAAATTTAGTAAAAAATTTAAAAAGACATCTACTGTAATTTTAGTATAAAAATCTTTTGGGCAGTTGTAATCAGTTTTATTGACACACTAGGGTCCAGTGAACAAATCCGTGCATCTTGAAAGGAACTGTGGGCCATGAAGGTACAGTGGGCACTGGCTGGTCTCGGCCCATTCTCTGCACGCCCACCGGCCTCTCCTGCTGTGGCCACACAGGATCGGGCCTTAAATGGGCAGTCGGACATCCCTCTCACAATACTGGACTGCTGGCTCCCAACTGCTCGCCTGCCTGCCTTCCTGATTGCCCCTCACCACTTCTTCCTGCCAGACTGATCACACCCTAACCACTTCCCTGCCAGCCTGATTGATGCTTAACTGCTTCCCTGCCAGCCTGATTGCCCCTAACTGCCCTTCCCTGCAGACCCAGTCACCCCCAGCTTCCCCCCTCTGCTGGCCTGGTCACCCATAACTGCCCTCCCCTGCAGGCTTGATCACCCCCAACAGTCCTCCCTTACAGGCCTGGTCCCTCCCAACTGCCCTCCCCTGCTGTCCATCTTGTGGTGGCCATCTATGACCAGCCATATTGTGTGTTGGAGTGAAGTCAATTTGCATATTATTCTTTATTAGATAGGATAGAGGCCTGGTGCATGGGTGGCGGCCAGCTGGTTTGCCCTGAAGGGTGTCCTGGATCAGGATGGGGGTTCCCTTGAGGCATCAGGTGGCCCGGGCGAGGGGCCTGTGGTGGTTTGCAGGCTGGCCACATCCCCCGGCAACCCAAGCGGAGGCCCTGGTATCTGGGATTTATTTATCTTCTATAATTGAAACTTTATAGCCTTGAGTAGAGGCCAGGGCAGGCCAGGAAGTTTGCCTTCCTTCATTGCTGGGGAAACCCAAGTCTCCTGCTTGCTCTGTGGCCACAGTTGGGATTTTTTTATCTTCTATAATTGAAACTTTATAGTCTTAAGGGGAGGCCAAGGCAGGCCAGGGCTGTAGAAACTTGGCTTCCTCCATTGCCGGGGGCAACTCAAGCCTCCTGCTCTCTCCAGCTTTGTGGCTGCTGCCATTCTTGGGATTTCTTTATCTTCTATAATTGAAACTTTGTAGCCTTGAGTGAAGGCCAGGGCCAGCCAGAGCAGGCAAAAAACTTGGCTTCTTCTATTACCAGGTAACCCAAGCCTCCTGCTTGCTCCGTGGCAGGCCTCCATCTTTGTTGGGTTAATTTGCATACTCGCTTCTGATTGGCTGGTGGGCATGGCTTGTGAGTGATAGTTAATTTGCATTTTTTTCTTTCATTGGTGAAGATGAGTCTTTTTACATGGCCTCAAAACATAGTCTATATTGGTAAATATTTATTTGGTCTTGAAAATAATGTGTACATTGTCAGATAGACTATTCTATAAATGTAAATTAGGACAGGTTGGTTGAAAGTATAATTCAGTTCTTATATATCCTTGCTGATATTTAGTCTACTTATTCTATTAGTCCATTTATTATATTTGTTCCTAAGAGACTGAAGTGGAAATTTACAATTGTAATTGTGGATTTGCTTATTTTTCTTTTCAGTCTTGTCACTTTTTGTTCTGGGTGTTTAACACTTTGTTGTTTGTGCATACACATTTCACATTATTATGTTCTCTAATGAACTGAACCCTTTGTCATCCTGAAATATCCATCTTTATCCGTGGTAATATTTCTTATTCTGATGAACACTTTGTATAATATTAACATAGCCATTCCAGCTTTCTTTTCATTAATGAACATGATATAATTTTGTCACCCTTTTACTTTTTAAGCTATATCTGTCAAAGTTGGTTTCCTGTCTTGCATTTTTAAATTAAATTTTATAATCTCAGTCTTTTTAATTTGATTCTTTATACCAGTTATATTTCATGTAACATCAGAATTATTGGGTTTTAATCTACATCTTACTATAGCTTGTATTTTTGTCTCACCTGTTCTTTATTTCTTTTTCTCTTTTTTCTACCTCTATTTGAGTATATTTTAGCATTTCATTTTATCTCCAAAATTGAATTATTAACTCTGCCTCTTTGTTTATATTGTAGTTTGTTTCTCATTTCTTATTTTACTTAATATAGTCTGTTGTCAAGTAATATTATGCCACTTCACTTATAATGTAATAATTGATGTAATTTTTCATTTTTCTGCTTCAATCCTCTATGCTATTATGTTTGAACTTTTTACTTCTATGTATTTTATAACTTCCAGAATACAGTATTATTATTGTTGCTGTTATTTTTCAACAACCAGTTATCTTTAAGATTATTTAAAACTGAGAAATATGACTTTTATATTTATCAAAATATTTATAATTTCTGGTGCCTTTCATTTTTTGTGTGGACCATAATTTCTATCTCATTTTTGTTTTTCCTGAAGAACTTTCTTTAACATTTTTTGTAGACTCTCAGCTTTCATTTGTCTGAAAATCTTTATTATAGTTTCTAGAATTTAATTTTGTCAACATTAAGGACACCTGTTCCTAAATGAATATGATTAATAGCTTAGAGCAGTGGTTCTCAACCTTTCTAATGCATATTTTAAAAATGAATTCAAAGGATATACAGCATTCTCTTGAGAAAAACTGAAGTTTTACTATACATTAAAAAGAAAGATAGTCTCAAAATCAGTGGTATCTGTGTTTAAAATGCTTTCTTTTTGCAGATGTTGATGAGTGCCAAGCTATTCCTGGGATATGTCAGGGAGGAAACTGCATCAATACAGTAGGCTCTTTTGAATGCAAATGTCCAGCTGGTCACAAGCAGAGTGAAACTACTCAGAAGTGTGAAGGTGAGTGTCACTACTTTTTAAGTGTCTCTATATATCTAATTGATGACTCTGAACCAAAAATAGGCCTTCATTTTTAATTTTAAAGAGCTTTATCATAATTATAATTCTTTAATTTGATATGAAAGTGGCATCATAACCTTAGAGTAGTTTTGTATCAGTTTGTATATTTAATGGGTTTTATTTGGGAAAAAACAATGAGCATTTTGCATCTGGTGTAGTATCCTAGTTTTTATTTTGTAATGAGAATGGAATGCAGCCACTTAGAATTTTTCCTTAATAAATTTTTACTATTTTACATACAAAATTATATAAAACTTTTATATAATTTTTAAATTATTAAAATTGGGTAAAGAGAAGTATAAGTGAAATATAGTGTCATGTGTAAAATGATTCATATGATGTTCATACTCTGTCATACATTTTACAATACATATTCTAATTTTTATATTGAATATTATTGCTTGATAGCCCACCAAACTGAAAAACAAGCATGCTTGACTCAGGCAGGATTTGGAAATTACCAAAACAGATATTCTGTGAAAGAATAGCTTACTCAAAAAAAATTTTTTTTTTAATAATAAAAGCTCAGTGTATTGCATAAACTACATAGAAAAAACATATTTTAATACTGAAAGTATGAGTTTTGTCAGAAAATGTATGACTGAGGAATAATACAAAAATCACCTTAAAAGATAATACTTATTTTGCCTTACTTCAATACTCCTGATGATATTGACTTCTTATATAGTTCATAGTTATTTGATTACAAAGACAAATTTGATAACTGTTTAAAGCATTATGATACTTCACAAGTCCTTTTTAAAAAAAGTATTTCCCACCACATAATATTGCTAGACTGAGAGCTCTTAGAGGTAGCAACTGGGTTATATTTATTAACTTTTTATGATAAGAAAAATCAAATTACTTTCTTTTTTTTAATTTAAATTCTTTATTGTTTAATATATTACATAAGTTTCCTTTTTTCTCCATTGACCTCTCTCCTGCTGCCTTCAACCCCCAATACATGCCCAAAAATATTTTTTTAAATATATTTTTATTGATTTCAGAGAGGAAGGAGAGGGAGAGAGAGAGAGATAGAAACATCAATGATGAGAGAGAATCATTGAACAGCTGCCTCCTGCATGCCCCTTATTGGGGATCAGGCCCACAACATGGGCATGTGCCCTTGACGAATTGAACCTGGGATCCTTCAGTCTGAAGGCTTATACTCTATATACCAAGCCAAACCAGGTAGGGCAAAAATATTTTTAAAATAATAATAATTCTCCAGAATATGAGTTTTAGATTATAATATTGAAATACAAATTCCATCAGCATTCCTCAAATAAAATAAATTAACTTCTTATATCTGTGATCCAAAGCTTCATCATTATAAAATTCAAGAAGCTTTTAAGTGTGTTGAGGTTTAATGAACATGGATATTTGGAATAATTATTATGTTTCTATTAGTATTGAAGTATAATGTTTATCTTTTCAATTATTATATTACCTAAATCAATTTATTTCAACCAAGGTAGTTTTCTTAAAATAATACAGCATATCCTCATTTTTGTGTGTGTGATATAAGCATTCTTATCTCCTCAAAGTTTAGAAGATTTTATTCTATAAATTTGGTTTTGCCAATCTTAGCTTAATTGAGATGGAAAAATGTATATGGGAAATTCAGTATTTTCCATTTATTCCATATTGCCTACTATGATTATAACTGGAAGCATTTTCTAAATTCCAGAGACTAAAAGTACCAAGCATGTAATTGCTTCCTGTGAAAAAAATGGTCACAAGTTCATTTAGACCATCTTACCTTCAATAACTAAGATAACCTTCTGGTGTCTATAATCCTTTTGTTCTTTTCCTTTTAAAAGGCAGTATTTCTGTTTAGTTTTTGTTGTTTGGTTATAAAAAGTTGTGTTCCTCTCTGTAGAATTAAAAATGGGAAAAGGTAAAATCTAGAGTTTAATTAAAGACAAACAGGAACAGGAACTATTGCACTAGGCAGGCGGTGGAGTGGGTGCACATGCTCTCGGAGCCCAAGGGCCATCTATCGTCCTATGTTTCCTATTTGCCTCTGTTCATTTATAGTTAGCTCCAAAGTAATCCTCACAAATTTTTACATTATTAAACAAGTTCATGCTCACCCAAAAGAAAAGATAATAAAATGTGGTTAATTATTTTAAAGACCAAATAAATTCTCTCTTTTAACTGACAGCATGAATGTTCAACAAGTTTATGCTATTTAAATGCCATGTAGATAATCAAAGTCTGCCTATATTGGAAAGGTTAAGAAAAATATTTGAAAAATAAGAAAATTATCTGTGTTAGCGCAGGAATTAAACCAGAGTTAGGAATCTACAAAAAGCCTGGTGGTAATGCTGCTGCATCCTTACTACTTTTTTTACTTCCTCTCCTGACATTTTTGGGGTTGATTCTATCATTCAAGCTTTTGTTACCCCCTTAACTTTGTACTTCTGGAATAATATCCAACAAGAGTCAAGGATGGTAGATTTAGGAACAAAGACTGTGTATGATTATAGACGAGAAGGCATAGCCAATGACTGATTTAAATGGTTTTGACATTTCCATTAATCATCAA